AGGGCACACTCAATCCCCTCATCCAGATCATCGATAAAGATCTTGAAAAAGACTGGCCCCAAAACAGAGCCCTGGGGAACGCCGCTCGTGACCGGCCGCCAACTGGACTTAAGTCCATTCACCACAACATCACAGTCTTGACTCTGTAATTCCTTAACATCACTTTATCGAGTACTGATGTTCCTATTTTCTAAATTTGGAAAGCTATGTTGGGGAGCGGACTCATCTTATAAAATGTTGGTATTTACTATGTAGGTAGCTACTCCTAAACTGGGTATTTAAGTTCCCATCGTAGTGCAGAGGGGTCTAATCAATGGCATCAATGGTTTGACTGATCTCATGAGTTGCATTAGTGGTGCTGAATTACACCATAAACTTGTTTGCCTGAGTAGTGAAACATCTGACAGTTGACTGAATCGCAGACACCAGTATTACATACAGCTAAAGTCAGCTAAATAAATCCCAATATAAATGTCTTGTCCAAGGTCAACCAGGGGGTCTGGGGAGGATCAAGGTGCTGATTCCCTGTCTCCTGAGGCCCACTCTGAGAACTATAAATATCATTGTCATGATATCACCATTTGTTTTACACCCATGAGATGACCCCAGACAGTAGTTTGACATTTAGGTGGAAAAGGCTGACTTAGTGTCCAGAAGACAGTGACATTTATTTCCATCTGCTTTTAGCCAGCCCTCTCCTAAGGTACTAATTGCCTTTATTGTCATGCCAACCACTAGGCTGTGGTATGATTGCTTGCGATTTATTGTGTTTGTCAGAGTGCACGGTGCTCTGTGCAACCTGAAACAAGGACTCTTTCTATTTTAATTAATTTATATCCTGGTTATCTGCTTCCTGCACAGATCTTACTCTGCCTTTTTTCCCCAAGATATATTGCACATAACATTGAGGAGAGATAATGAGATGGCTTAATTAACACTGTCATCAGACAACAATGTTGCTCTATTCCAGGGCACACAGATGTTCTTTGGTACTCAGGATAAAAAATGGGAATAGCAGTGTATACATGCTCTGTATGTTGCAATGCAGTGTAGTCAATTGAAGCGCTCTCTGCCTTTCTCAAGCAGGGGGCCCAGGGCAAACCATTCTCCAACTTCTTAACTCTGTCTTTTCTGACCATTACAATAGGAGGTTGGAGCAAGCTGGTGGTGAAAACACCTGCACTTTATTGCAACCTGGCTAAACATAGATTACCACTGCTACTATCTATAAATGTAAAGATTTTTTTTTTTCCTGTGGGGAAGCCTTAGGGGCCTTCTGTATCTTCAGTTTTGAATTTATCGTGTGAGATCAGCTGGAACACTGCTAATCTGGCTTTTTAGACAGAAACCCCAGAAAAAAAATCTGTGCTTCCTCACTCTTCACCATGACTTTTATATTTTACAACAGGCTTTGAACACTAGGGTACTTTTAATTATCTTTATCTCATGGCACTCAGCTCACCAGTTAGCATTGGCACACCTTGTCTTCATTAAAAAAGTCAGCATAATCCAGATTAAAGATAAGGCTAGGGTAAATCAGGGACAGCAAAGGAAATACGGAACAAGTTTAACAAGACAGAGAGTTTTTTGGTAGTAAGTGATGATGCAGAAAGAATTTGTAGCTGATTTGGCTAATTGGCCTTAGTCTTTAGAGGAAAAAAAAACCCAGCTGCACTAAGTGTGTGTTCTGGAGGGAAAATACAAGCCATTGAGAGATGGGATATTTGGCTTGTTTAAATTCACTGCCATAGCTTGAAATTCTATTCCATTTTTGTGTAAATAGTGAGAATTTTATAGATAGCCTTTTTTCACCCGTGATCCAACTGAAGAACCCTGGTGTAGGTTCCAAAGTGAGGTAAATTGTGGTAAGTTATTTTGGCCAAGGATAAGTGAAGCTTGCCCAGACCACATATCCCTTTCATGAAGTGTAAAAGAGGTTACACTGAATAAATAGTTCTGCATGTCAACAAGTAAGTTTTTCAACAGTAAAAAAAACTATCAGTAGGTCCTCTAGAACCGAAATGTGAATTCTCATTTTTAGTGTGCCAGACAAATCTTGATCTCTGCAATATATCTCAAAACACATATTAAATTCTTTATGTTTATGCCATTTTTTTTCTTTTCTTTCTGTTATTTATGTATTTTTGTATAAAATGGATAACCCTCTTCAAACTAATTCCAGAAGCAGCCAGGTATCATTCCTTACAAGGAAAGCCCAGTCCAGATTTACCGCCAACGTTAGTTTTGATATGCAGCTTATATTTTTCCTTTGATCCGTTGGGGTTTTTTTTCTTTTTTTTTCTTTGAAGTGCCTCATTGGCTACAAGTCTGGTTTTTGTGATTTTTCTGGCATCCCTTTAGAAGCTCTACCATTTCTGACATTCTGTCTCAAAATTCAATGACAACTTAGCTTACTTTGCCATGAGTCTGGATCATTCCTTAAATCACAAACTGATAAATAGAGTGGAATGTGTTCAGAGTCAATTCAAATAAAGGAAACCAGGATGAAAGGCCAAAGGGACCTGAGTAAAACTCATTTGCACCCTCAGCTTGGAAACAGGCAGCTCAATGCCTGGCACACTGCTGGGTGAGAACACAGTTGCAATAGTATGACCTTGTCCAACACCTGATGACACCTCAGAGACCCTTTCATTTCACGTCCGTATCCTTTGAACGAGGTTCGCTGTCATTATCGATCTGCCTAACTTGAATGACAGATTTGCAGCACTGCAGAGAAAACTAGAAAATGAGTAATAATAGGTTGGTTTGCTCTTTTAGGTAACTGTTTGCTGGACCAACCAAGAAAGCAGATCCTGGGCCCTGAGGAGCTTCCAGGACAAACCTATGATGCCATTCGTCAGTGCAAACTGGCGTTTGGACCCGAATACACAGTGTGTCCTGGTATGGATGTGTGCTCTCGCCTCTGGTGTGCAGTTGTACGCCAAGGTCAGATGGTTTGTCTGACTAAGAAGCTGCCTGCTGTGGAGGGAACACCATGTGGAAAAGGGAGGATCTGCCTCCAGGGAAAATGCGTTGACAAAACCAAGAAGAAATACTACTCAGTAAGTTACCAGCTGTGACCCTAGGGAATTGTAGAAGGCCTGATCCTCAACGGTGCTGATTTTTGTGGGAGTGAAAGGGGCTTTATGGAAGGCAGATTGAAAGCTGCCTTATTTTTTAGCATGTAATTGGAGTGTTATTGGTGAGGGATATAGGAAAAATGCTGCTGAGTTTCAGGAAGCATGTTTTCTTCTTGAAGCATGAAAGCCTTCATTCCTGGAAAACTGGGAGCATCCCTTCAGAGCAGAGGATTTGCCCATTCAGTAAGTCAGGTCTCAGGACATACAGAAAGATTGTCAAGGACCTGTTCTTAGCTTCCTGACTTCTTGGCAATGGACTGGGAGGTAAATTAAAACTGTAAATTTAATTTACCACCCTCATCTGAAAGACCTCAGGGCCCTAACTGTAGTGAAGAGAAAGGTGGATGAAGTTCATCCAGAATATAATTTCTGGAGCAGAAAAGTTTGTACCTCCAGTGACAGAGTCCCCTCTGTCAACTTTATACACCTGAAGTGTCCCCAGGCTCGTGAGAACTGTCAGCTGCACAGTTCAGATACTTCTAAATTTACTGGGTAGACAGTACCACTGCCTCTTCTGTTATACCCACAGAAGAGGTATGGACTTGTAGAGCTTTGTGAAGATATTTGCAAACTATGAGTGTCATTCAAATCAAGCTACAGCCCTTATAACACCCTTTTTTGTGGAATTATATACTTATACGTGCTGTTGCAATACTCTTTCTAGGTAGCCAGTTTAGCAGAGTTGCAAACTATATCTGACAACTCCATCTCTTGCCAGTAATTCAGAGCAATAACTACACATCACAATAATTGCATTTAATTAATCATAGATTAGCCTTATGAACATATTCTGGGAGCTGAATCCCCTGGAGCTAGTTTAAGGAACAGCAAAAACTAAGAGAGTAGCACATGAGACTGTGGGTGCTACTTGTGGTGCATGGGTGTCTTCCATGAAACAAGCTGAAGGCAGCTGTGCAGAGCAAGGCCTAGTATTGCCTTTGCATGCACAGTGCCAAAAGAGATGTCATCAATGTGCAGATAAAAGGCAGAAATTAACTCTGCTGGGAGAAAGAAGGCTCCTAAGACCTGTTACCCCTGATTAAAATGACCAAGGAATCACCTTCAGTTGAGGAAAACATAAGCAGTGTCTTTGAGATGTAGCACCTTTATTCACACTTGGATGATGTCCTTACTTCCCACTGTTCCATATATTTCAGGCTTCAAGCCATGGTAACTGGGGGTCCTGGGGACCTTGGGGACAGTGCTCCCGTACCTGTGGCGGAGGAGTTCAGTTTGCTTATCGTCACTGCAATAACCCAGCTCCTAGAAACAATGGCCGGTACTGCACCGGCAAGAGGGCCATCTACCGCTCCTGCAACGTCACACCCTGCCCAGCAAATGGTAAGTGCCTGCGTGCCAGAGTGCCTTCGTGCTTCAGCCTCTTATGTTAAAAGATAGTAAATATTGAACATCTACTGTGAAAGGAAACAACAAAGGTCCATTGTAGTTTCTCCAAAATGTACTTACCAAGACAAGACATTCATCATTAATACAATACTGTAATTCTTCCCCCATCCCCAGCCTGACGCCATACAGAAAGGACATTTGAATGAAAAGAAATTTAAGTCCTGGAAAATGAACCATAATGCAAACTTTAGTCCTTTAGTGCTTATTATGTCATGGGAAGATTTCCAAGCTAAAACAGTTGAAGGATTTGAAGGCCAGTTCTAAGTAAAGAGGTGAAGTGACATAACTTAAAAATTATGTAAAAAAGAAATTGGAATAATAAATGGGCATAATGATATTTGCAGCATGGTCTGAAATAGTCACTAATGATGTGAATACTTCTACAGCTAAATCTTTTCGACAAGAGCAGTGTGAAGCAAGGAATGGCTATCAGTCTGACGCAAAGGGTGTCAAGACATTTGTTGAATGGGTCCCCAAGTATGCTGGAGTACTTCCCGGAGACGTTTGCAAGCTCACCTGCCGAGCCAAAGGAACTGGATATTATGTGGTATTTTCTCAGAAGGTAATGACATCTCCAATCATGATTTCATGCTCCAGTTTAGAAGTGTCATGTATCTTGGAAATCTTTCCCTACAACAAGGGGAAAGAAGTTAATCTTATGATTCAAAGATTTAACTGTGTGATTAGATTTAATGGTTTGATCCACTGGTTATACATTAGGACCAGAAGTGGCCTCTAAAATGAGATAAGTTTTTCCACATCTCAGTATGTGGATTCATGAAAAATGTGGGCCTCTTAGTGCACTCTGCACTAGTTTGTTTTTAGTAGTGGATAAAGGGGTTTCTACCTGGAGAGTCATCTGTCATTCTGGGCTTTTCTGGAGGAGAAAGAGTACTATGAGTAAAAGAATAAGTTTTACCCTGAATTTTGTTAAGGGACTCCAGCGTAACTCTTATGAAGCCAATTAATATTGAATAATTAGCCAATTAGTATAGATGTGACTTGTGGTCAGTTATATCAGATACAATTCGAACTGAAATGTCTCCCACGCTTATACTTGCAGTTTGCTGCCTCTAAATGTTCTGAAGGTAACATTTAGATGTAGATAGTTCAAATGCAAGGCTATCTACAAGTACTGTTATTGTTATTATTAATAAGCTGTGAGATCATCATTAAAGCCAGGGTCATTTTAGCGTCTTAGGGTGGAGTTATCTGTCATTGCTTTCAGCCCTTTGCTAAATTTCATCTGCTTTTGTGCTGGAAATGTTAGAGAAACTGAGTCTGGTCTGTCAGGGTAGGGAGTCTGTTCTGAGTAGGTGACATAAATAAGTAACTGGGTTTTGCCAGTTGGATTCACAAAAGCAAATCTTTTCCATGGCAGTTTTAACTTAACGGTCATTTGATTGCCTAGGTAACTGATGGTACTGAATGTCGACCGTACAGTAATTCAGTCTGCGTCCGGGGAAAATGCATCCGAACTGGTTGCGACGGCATCATCGGTTCAAAGCTCCAGTATGACAAATGCGGGGTGTGTGGAGGAGACAATTCCAGCTGCACAAAAGTCATGGGAACCTTTACCAAAAAGAGGTATCGATCTTGAGTATTAGTAAATGTATCTTGTTGCGCCAATAGTAACACTGCTATGTGCTTGCTTGCTTGCTGTCTCTAAATGCAATCTACTTTCATACAAAGATTGAGTAAAAAAGTACATAGCCTGTGCTTTATTGCACTTTCCAGATGTTTACAGCTGGCCTCTTAACATTACTGCAAAACTAGCAAATAATCAACTGGCAAAACACTGTACCCACTTCATTTCTGACACAAAGTGCCAGTGATACAGGGGAGCACCCCATCAATAGAAGTCTGCCTAGATTAAGGCATAGCATCTTGTGCTACTTGCTAATCTTGCTGTGTCAGATGGCTTGTGGTTTCTAGAGGAGGGAGGAAAGGGAAGAGAGGAGTGAATCAGAAAGTTGGGGTCAGAATAATCTGGGTATTTCTGAAAGTCTGCATTTCCCAGACGATGCTGTGTTAGCAAGTTACACGCTGAGAATGTGTGTCATCTCATCTAACTTTGAATGACAATGAGGACATCCCACCTGATTTAGTGACACGGATTCCTTGTGTAGTTAGTGGAGAGAAGCAGACGGCACTAGACTACAGCTGTAAAAGTCTTCCTTAGTAGCTGAGAGGGATTACACCCTAAAAATACCTTTTCACACTGCTGAGTGTATGTGGAGCTTAGATGAGGAGATGCGATGTCAGAAGCATAGGTTTAAGCATGGCATTTGCTATATCCCTTCATGTCCACTGGCATAATGTCAATTTCGAGATGGATTTTTTTTTAAGTCAAAATATTTATAGCAGTTATCCCTAAGACATTTTTCTGTTAGAGTTCAGCTTTTAACTGTAATAAAACTTAAGTAAAATAAAAGGAACCACCCCCACGGTTTTCCCTGACCACACTGAGGGCAGCAGTAAGCTTTGTACTGAAATACCAATGTCAAGTAAGTCTGCTTTCTCTCTGAACTGTTGTTTCCCTCCCTCTTCAAGTCTTAAGACTCATAGAAAAATAAGGATTTGTAATTATCATTTACATAGATTCCAAGGTCTCAAAGGACTGCTGTAGCGATCTACTCTTAGAAACTTTCAGTTGACAATTTCTACTTAGTGTCTGTGACTGCATTAGTGTACAATCTTTTAAAACGTACATAAACTTGATTTTGTTTTATATCTTCCAAATTCTTACGTAGCATATTGAAAGCTACCAGAAGTTGAAATCTGACTCCTGAAATGACCTTTTATTTCTATACATTTCAACATACTGATTAATAGCAGTCAAAAATGGCTTTGAGAGTGAATTTATTCTAAAAATAAACATAACTAATCTTCTTCCTGGTAAACCAATGATTACACACCTGATGATGCCAAAACACCTCTGCCACAAAGAATGACTTTCCATCCAAATTAGTGATTATATAAACCAAATCTTTTCCAATTTATAAATATTGAAATGTCAGGGATGTATAAATGAAGAAGACAGTATGAGATATGCTTCATGTGATTGAGTAATGATCCTTGTGCTGGAACCCAGGCTCCAGCAAAAATGTTAAAGGGACTCCATGAATTTCAGTGAGGTCAGATTTGTAGCATAGATATACTTGGAAATGGAGAGATTCTATTATAATTATTCCTGTGAAGCTACCATCTTACTCCTCAAATCATGCCTTTAACTGAAATGAGACTGGTCAGAGGGTAAAGTATTAATTCAATCTCAATGCATTCAAAAAATTGCCCTATTTAGAAAGTGATAGTCAACCTGTAAGTAGCAAGTGTGTTCTAACTTGATTTTGATTTAATTTTGGAGTGACAAGGTTTTATTTTTTCTTGGAAATATTGTTTGAGGCAATTCCCTTATGCCAGTGATTGACTTTAAAATAAACCCTTCATTAAAATAGTGAAACCTTAATTGGCTGTAAACTGTTTTTACATATGAAAGGGCAGTGGCTGTAGTAAAATTATCTTTTCTCCACTGAAAAATAGCAGCTCCAGTGTTGCTGTCCGTTATAAACCAAACTGTAGCAATCTGTATGTTTAATGTACAGGGAAACTATTAAATGTACAAGGGGAAACTAGTATTTCCCATTGTGGACAATTGCCATAACACTATTTGTTTGTACTTTTTTCTTTTAAAGCAGTCAGAACATAATCTTCTGGAAAACTTGCTTCCTAAGAACTTTTTTAAAAAGGCTGTAAAGCCAAATTGTCAGAAGTTGGGAAAGGGGAGAACTAAAGCTGCATGTGCTTCTTTGTGCACGTGGAGTGTTACAGTTCTTTGTGCAGACAACTTGAATTCTTCAGCATTGCTTTTAGTTTTTAACCAAATGATTTTGTAACATTAATAACATGTTTTAACAGAGTTATTTTGGCAACCGTTACGTAAAAATATTTGTGCAGTGCTGTAGAGCAAAGTGCCCCCCAGCCTGTTTTTTGCACTATATTCCTTCAGCTTTATGGAGGTGCTAAATCAATAGAGTTTTAGTCATTGTCCCATAACTGTTGGAAATAGCAGGGGAATAGCACAAGCGTTTAATCTGTAGTCTGTGCAGTCTCTACTTGTGCAGCCAAAAATTCTCGAAATTAGCAGTCTGTTCTTTAAACAGTCCCAGAGGAAACCCCTTCACTTTTATATATTTTTAGTATATTTTCTCATTCCTTTTTCCCCAGAAGTTTCAGCACTAAACTTTTCAGACGTGAGATACTTGCAGAATGGTTTTGTCACAGATTTAGAAATGCAAATACATGTCTCCAAAGTGCAGTTGGTAGCTTATAGCTACGTATAGTCTTTAGATTTTTTCTATATATCAGTAAAGTTAAAATAAATAACCTACTTGAGATAGTGATAAGTTCCAGCACACTTGCAGGTTCTGAATGCTTGTCACTTTCGGTAGAAGAGTTAAATATCTTTTTCTAAATCTGAATTAAGATACTTCATAAGTAGCAACAGAGAGAACTCTGTGATGGTACAAATTAAACATTTGGGTGCACCTCGTATTAGGCACTTGACAATTAATCTTTGGCTTTATGAATTTCAAAGTAAACAAATTTTTTCTCAGTGATCAAAATTATTTTTAAATGTTCCCAAGGTACCTCTACCCAGCTGTTACTCTGCTCATGCTTTCCTTAATCATCATTATAGCAAAGACAGCAAGAAACAGCTGTAACCAATGCATATCTCATTATCTTTTCCTTGGCAGGCAAAGCGTGCATCATATTTCATATCTCCCACCCTTTGCTGAAATATATAAGCTATCTGTTATTTTTCATTCCACTTGTATCTGACTCACATAAAATCATTACTAAAGCTAAAGATTAAGCAATTTGAAATAAGTGCAGTAGAAATTTCTTCAAGAACGTGAAGAACAATACAATAGACAAACAGTGGAACCTGGTTAAATTAATTGTAGATGAGCCTCAAGCCAGATGGATTCAGGGCCTTAACTAAAACGAAGCAAGATGCGTCATGCCAGTGACTTCATTAGGTGTTGCAGTAAGACTTGAGGCTTATTTCACGCTAGCTACTGAATACTCTTTTTTCTTAACTTCATTCAGCAAGGGCTACACAGATGTAGTGAAAATCCCAGAAGGGGCAACCCACATCAAAGTTCGGCAGTTCAAGACTAAGGACCAGAGCAGGTTCACTGCCTACCTGGCCTTGAAAAAGAAAAACGGTGAGTACCTTGTCAATGGAAAATACATGATCTCCACTTCAGAAACAATCATTGACATCAACGGGACTGTCATGAACTACAGCGGCTGGAGTCACAAAGATGATTTCTTGCACGCAATGGGACACTCTGCCACAAAAGAGGTTCTTATTGTGCAGATACTTGCGACTGATCCAACTCAACCAGTGGATGTCCGCTATAGTTTCTTCGTGCCAAAGAAGCAAGGGCAAATGACTAACTCTGTCACCAGCAGTGGCAGCAGCAGCGGCAAAGTAACTCCACAGCTCACGCAACCCCGCTGGGTTACGGGGCCGTGGCTTTCTTGTTCTCGAACATGCGACACAGGATGGCACACCAGGACTGTCCAGTGCAAAGACGGGCATGGAAAATTAGCTAAGGGATGTCTTCTCTCCCAGAGACCGTCAGCATTTAAACAGTGCTTGTTGAAAAAGTGTTAACCTGTGGTTGTGATCTTCTTTAAAAGAGGTTTGATTAAGCCATTGTTGACATACTGGTATTAGGTCTGTCCAGACAGAGAGAAGCAAAGGCTTCAATGTACTTACAGTCTCAAATTATGGGCAGAATCTGCCTATTTGGACCAAAAGAAGATGTGCACTGCTTTAAATAATAGTAGGGTGATCTTAATATGTCAAAAAACTAAGCATTAAAGTTGTTATAAGCCCTCTGTGTCTGCAAAAATATAAATAAAATAATGCAAAAGAAGAAAAACTAGTGAATGGAGGATCCTGGGATATTTGAAGGTTACAGAATCATCTCCCCTTTTTCACCTACCTCTAATACAGTATGTCCTTAGAAAACGTCACACATACCCATGATACCACAGTAGCTTATTTTATACTGTTTTGTAAATATCTTTCATTTGGTATGTCACTTTATATCACTTGGTTCTATTAAAAAAAATCAAAAGACAAACTACATAAGCAAAGTGATTGACCAAAGTATATCTGCAGCCCGTGTGGACTTGGTCCATTCTTCAGAAAGGGCCGCAGATGTTTTACTGGAAAATGAAGAGCTTGCTGCTGGTTTTAAGAAGTAATACCTTTTGGTTTTGACAAAAGGAAACACATTTTCATGCTAGGAATTTCCTGACAGCAGATCATTATTCTGTGACAAATACTGTGTTTCCACCAAGAGGGAGCATTGCAGCATCTTGCAGACCAGGGATCCCGACATGCACATTGCTCAAATACCAGCACCATCAGAGACTCCTCACCATGTGTATGTCAGACACACACAGAAAGAGGATTTGGCTAGGAGGAATTGGTTAGGAGGAATTTGTGCACACTTTGCTTGTAAACCTTCCACTAGTTCCAGCTGTGTCACAGATTGGGGTCCTTGTTGTCAATGAACAATAGCTGCTAGCTTCTTCTTTCCGTAAAACAAAGGCATACTGTATCTTGTAGAAACTAGTTAGAGAACCAAAAATTACAGGTAAGATAATCAAGTGTCTTCTAACTCAGATATTCTGAGGCTGTGTTCAGCTGCTTTCTCTGTTATTTTCTCTATGGCTTCCACCTTGAATCTAACAATGTGTAACGTGCCTACATCTTTTGAAGAGGCTACAAAGGTCAAAAAAACACAGCAAGCAGTTAATTTTTATCACTGTTTTGTCCATGATGTCTAACTCTGGTATTCATCTTACCAGCAAAAGTTTGTAACTATTTGTCTTTTTTGATTGTTTTGTGTGTGTTTTGGGGTTTTTTTAAAGCTATAGAAGGCATTCATGTTTGTATATCTACCACATTTGGGAGGAGGAGGGGACACTAGGAAGTCAAACCACATCAGGATGTGGAGGACTTGCCCAATATCAATAAGACTGTTTCCACAGTACAGGCAGTAGCTGGTAATAGTTTTCATTGGCAGCAACTTCTGAATCCCGTTATTGTCTGGTAGAAGTTCTGTGACCGAGGATGGGCCTTTCACCTTATGCAGGTAACAGGTGGAGGCCTGACAGCAACCCTGTTAAAATTGCTTCCTTTTATATCAGCAGGCTTTGAATTAAGCCCTAGGATAACAGGTACCAAAAGAAATGGTTATAATATGCTGATGAAAATAGAATCCCATCTGTCTTTTATTCCATCATTCATCCACACAGGAGAGTATGAGACTGCAGGAGGATTTTCAGACAAGCCTCGCAGCTCTAAGTCAGTGGTACTCGAGCACTGAAATACCCCAGGCTCTTCTGAAAATCCTAATCATGAAATCAGTAGAGGAAACTTGTTGGCATGGGTAGCAAGGGCGGGTCTCACTCCAGGCTGACACAAACATGTTTTTGCAACTGCGGCATGTTTGTATGAACTCTAAGAAAGCATGTGATGATTTCAAAACAGCATAGAATTGCTACATCTACAAGTGTGAAACCTGGAGAACTATCTATTTTTGTACCCTGCTCTAAATAAACAGCAATAGGGGCAGGGCCTCCTCCTCTGTCAAAATGAATTACCAAGGAATGTTACTAATCATCTTCAGCTTTCAAGAATGATGTGGCCTTCTTATTATGAGTACTCCTATGCAAGATTGTGTATCTTGAGGAAAATTCCCCACTTAATCTGTGATCCCACCCTAAGAACTGAGGTCGTGGCTCTGAATATTTGCAGATTTCCGAAAAGTTAAGATTTATGCCTTCTCTACCTATTAACATAAGATCGCTTTGAAGTGTCTTATTTTCTTTTCAAGTAATCTAATTTTTATACTTATATATGTATTACACATGTTCTAGAACCTCTCAAAAAAGTTCATAACAAATAGAAACCATCATGAGAGGAAAAATAAGGAGACAATGTGTCTCAGCGTAGACTTAACATTTGTCTCTGCGTACAGCTGCTGTATTAAGTGGCATTTGTTTTCCCTGTGTTTTATCATAATATAGACAGAATGTGCAAGTACTTGTGTTTGCATCATAGTAATAATTTATTATATGTTCAACAGGCTGAGTAAAGCTTTTGGATGCTGTTCTGGCTCCAGAAGAGTAATACCATACGCGGGTATAAATTTAAAGCTTCCTTAGATGAAGAATATCTTTTTTCATAGAAAGAGTTTATTTATAAAAAATAAATAAATATGTGAACAAACCACTATAGTGATTTTTCCGTTTTCACCAGTGTAGTAATGAAGCAAATTAGCATGACCAAAAAGCAGTTGCCTTTATGTGGTGAGAAGGCAAAGGGGACAGACCAAGGAAGCAACCCTGACAGCATAAGATAAACTAGGTCAGCCCGCTCTAGTTAACACTTGTTTTTTGGCTGTTCTTTGTAATCAGACTCCCAATTCCAAAGCCTTCCTTCTGTCAGTCGTAGCTATCTCATGTAACTTATGAATGAAAAATTGGTGCAAGGTATGTGACTTTGTCATTTCAACTTCTGTTCTCAACTAAATTCCTTGTCACACACTGTTATGTTGTTGTTTACATTACTGCTGAGTGTTGCCGTACAGGATTCATAAAATGCATCTAGGGGTTAGAAACCTGGAGTATTGCTCTTTGCATAGAAAGAAACAATCCTCAGTGTTAAATTCACTGCTGACTTTCTGGGACACATCTCCAGTGCCCTTAGGCGGAGTTGGACCCCTAAGCATCGGTGGTTTTTAGAGCATCTGCTTTTCAAATAAGACATTCTCATTAGGAGAAAGCCTATCTTCTTTGGTTTGACTGTATAAAAGAAATTGTACAAGCTGCCCTCCTGTGGAAACAGTTTTATCACAAGGGGGAGAGGGAATAATCTTGCGGATTAATCACAATTGTTTAAAAAAAAAAAAGCAACACAGCACTGAAAAAAATAAAATAATTTATTGTTTTTACAACTGGTATGTGAACGGATGTAATGAATTTATTTATTCTTATTTAACAAAAATACCAATTGTGCAAATTCTATATTTAAAATGTTTTGCTATCGTCTCTGTCTCTCTCTTTCTTGCTCTCTTAATTTATGCTTCAGATTTATGTTGAAAGTACGCCTTGTGAGTTTACATAATGTATGGCACTGGTTATTTTTTTGTATGTTTTTATTTAGAAAGCTTTCTGCATGAAACGAGTATATGTGTATACATGTGTGCACACTGTATAGATGTATATTCTTTTTCTGCTACCATCTTTTTCTTAGAGAAGTTGTAGGTTTTTTAATTTTGTGACACCTCATGCTCCTTGTTACACTTCACTTGGCAAATCTCTCAACTAGCAAGTCATAAAGGTCCATGGACCAAAAAAACCTCATCCTAGCTCCTAAAGAAGTCAGACTTGCTTCTCACAGATGCGTGTGGTTCATGCTGCATGCCTCGGTGATTTACCTCCGAAGCTGGTAGAAGTCTTACCCTTTGCTTCAATGGGAGCAAGTTCAGGCTTGTAGTAAGTGGGAGTCCTCTATATGTGAATGAAGTTTCTCTGAGTTGCCAGAGTGGCAAGTGAGTCTTCTCTCATGCAGCTTCTTATGTTTAAGTGAAAACACTACAGAGAAACTCTTGTGTGCCTCTTTAAAAATACAGCTGAAACAATGCATGATTTGGTTTATAAAGACTGAACCATTAAAAAAGCTACTTTTTCAGTCTCTCCACTATTTATATACATATGTATATATGGCTATAAAAAGTCAAAAGCCCAATTTGGAAGGCTTTGCAATGTTTTACTTCACTGTATTCTAACTCTTTGCACAACATCAAGCAAAGTTAGATGCAAAAAAGCCAGCAAAGCACGCATTCGCCGTCTTTCCTTGAAAACAACAATATCTGTTTGCTTCCGTTTTTCATCCAGTCCAACTATGGCTGAACTCAAGGGAACTTGTATTGGGTCCAGTGTAAGGAAAAAATGCAATATAGACAAACCTACAGCTTTTTTACAGTTTCCTTAACAACAGAAATGACTTCTGTAGCCACTTCACCATAGGGCAGCACTACAGACTGCAAATAATCTATTTCAAACTGTTGAAAGTTACCGTGCTTATCAGTGCCCACATTCACACAAGTTAAATTCCAGCTCAGCCTCTCTGCCCAGTGTCTGCTGCCATCCAGGCACTGCCAAAGACCCAGCGCCAGCCACAAAGCTTTAGATGAATTTGTGATGGCCAGTGAGTGATGCTTCCTCACTTAAGACCCACTCCAAAATGCCAGGGAATGACTAGGAGCCTTGACTTTGACGACCTTTAGGGCAGGCTTTAAACAGGATTTTGTAAGGATGGAACATTTAATAATTGTGGGTTTTCAGCAATATGTTTAGGTGAGTGTTCCTCCTTCTGCTAATGAATGCCATGCTGCTCTTTGTCACTGAGGAAGACGGAACCTATGGCAAGAGCCCAAATCGGATTCTCTGAGCATGGGTTGCAATTTCCAGAAAAAAAGTTGCTGTTTTGGAGGGGTTTGTTCCTTTTTTTAATTAAGTGATTAGTTGTTCTAGATTTGCCAGAGTACATCATTGCATTCATACTTGTCATTGGTAACATTTTCAAGAGGG